TCAAGTTATTAGGATGAAAAGAGTGCACTCTCCAAAGCTAGAGATTAATGTCCATGAGATTTGAGTTGGACTTGAAATTTTCTTCCTTCCCATACCTGTTTGATGAATCTGCCATGTGTGCTGGCTTTGGTAGGTGGATGTTATTGCTGAAGAAAGGCAGGCTGCTCTTAATTTCTGAATGGGAGAAGATCAATATTCTCTGTATTTAGGAAGATATTAATGTTTATTATAGAAAACAGCAGAAAATCACAATTGAAAAAAGTGTTTCTAGGCTGTCTGCTGGTATTTCTGAAGTTCTTGGGGCAGGTGAAGGTCCTTATACTTTTTAAATTTGCATTGTCTTGTAAAATGATGTCTGGCATCATGTAGACATATGTATATACTTAAACTTGAGTTGGTGATTCAGCACGCTTCATCTCTGGTAATTATCCCAAAGGGAATTTACATTGAATGAGTTATGTACCCAGTCAAATTCTAACCTGAGTAGTGAATACTTATTTTCTGGAAATGAGGTACAGGCACCTAATGGAAAGAGATTTCAGATAAGGCTCATGCAATTCAAAGAGTTGGACATGCCCTGAATGGCAGCTGCCACTTTTGAAACAGATCCAGAAGCACCCTCAGCAGGGACATGGGGCTCTCAGAAGTCCCCGTAATAAAGGAAATCAAATAACAGCATCTGAAACAGTCTGTGCTTGTGACTCTTACACTCTGAGCTCTACAAATGGAGGCTGTGCTCCAAAACTACCCTCAGGAACTGGGAGACAAATGATGGCAGCAGAAAGTAACACTGGTAGTAAAGTAAGAAAACAGCAAATTATGACCATGTCTTAAAGGCAGGAGATCTCAGGGGACAAACCCATAACTTTCCAGAAAAGCTTAATTTTGCTTTTTTAAAAAAAATTCCTTTATTCTTTTATTTTCACCTCCAGCTCACCTTTGATGACACTCCACTATAGATGTCTGCAGCACTAGAAGTCCTAATACTTTATAAACCTAATTTGATACTTTCTACTGCAGTTTAGCACTTGGAAAAATCAGGAAGCTGTCCATCTCATTGTCTTCTCTCCTCCCGTGGAATTTTTAACGCAAAGTCTCCTTTCCTCTGTCTCACGCTTCAGTTTGTTGCTAGCACATGTTATCTCATTTTCAGGTCTGTTACTTTTCTTGTGAAAAGAACATCAGCATCCCTGACTGTACCTGAAATGACCATATCAAATCTCTCCACCCACAGTCCTGGAGACTTCATGAACACTCTGTAATAAAACTGGGAAAGACTTTCTTCTTTTATAGTTCTTAATGCCTAACTTTTAGTCTATTCAGCGAGGCAATTTTTGTTCTCCGTTATTTCTAACCAGCTCCAAGAGTAAACTGATGGGTAGAGAGCAGGTTTCACCTCAGCTAGTAAAACTGCTGAATGTTTTTACTCCTCTAGATATTGCACAGAGAACTATCAAGGCTGAAAAGTGACAGGCAGTAGATTCTTACTGGTGTTAAGCTACTAGTGGCCATTTACATCTTTCCTATCCATCTCCTTTCTTTGTACAAAGCCATCTTGGCTTATTACAAGGCTACTGTGCCCCTCAGCATTTTTATTAGTTTCCCTGGTGCTGTTGCAAGCCTTGTGTGAAATGTAGAAACGTATGGGCAGGGCAGTCAGTAATTGCGTAGGCAAGGATAAAAGACCTTTAGCACTAATTCAAGTCCTGGCAAGGGCATTTGTATCTCCTTCTGCAAGGAGAATTTTCATTTTCATAGTTCCATAATCACCTGGATAGAAGAGATCTAGGCAACAGGAGGTTTTACTGCTACGTGCGTTGAAGTAAAGATCCATATAGCATGGGTTTGTCATCGTTTGCGACAGGTATGGGTTGGTATAGGGGGTGCGATGGGGAAAGATAAAACGCTATCCCTCACTCATCCTGAAGTTCCAAAGGGATTTCCTCAATTTATCTCTGCTATAGCTGTTTGTAGTGGCTGTTTGACTTCTTAATAGCCTTAGATGCTGATTCAGAGAGTGATTTTATGCTAAGGGATCCTAGAAGTAATTGCATTTCTAATGACATTCTCTGTGAGGAAACCTCTGTCATGACTGTGGTGAGGAAGTGGGACAGGAAGGTCATGGCTGATTCTTGCATTGATGTGAGATTAATCTGGGCTCTAAGATAATGGGACAGCTGGTCCTTAATGGCTTAATGTTCAGCTTTTCCTCTCAGTGGTTTCAGCTTAAAAATCCCACCCTGCTGTGAGTGTTCTAGAATATATACTGGTTTCTTATTATCTGGACATTTTATTCTTTGACAGTTATATGGGACTTGCATAGCTCTAATTTGGACAAGTCCTGAAGGATGCTTCATTTCCCCAGCCTCACAGATCCCACCGCAAATGGCAGTGTCTTTTGGGTCGGACTTTAAAGTGTCATTTTTACAAACAGATCTCTTTCCACACTCGTAGTTGTGTCTTGTAACTCTCATTAAATGTCCTCTTGGTGTTTGATCATGGACTTGTTGAGTGATGATGGCACCAGCTGTGTAATGCAGGGAATATTTTTTTTGTTACCATACTGCTGTGTTGTGTAGAAAGATTAGAGATGTGTACAGAGCACTTTTCCTGCCGGTTCAAAAATGCCTTGAAATGATGATTCTTCTATGTTTAGACAGTATTGCTGCAGTGAATATGGTAGGGCTCCCACTTTTAGATTGTGTTCATTCTGCTTGTATAGTCTCATTTATTGAAAACTTACAAATTTATACATTTTCTCTTATATTGCCACCATCCACCTTTAAAACTTGTTGAGAGGGTATCAGGAAAATCGAACTTGTTTTCAATGGGTATTCCTAGGAGGGTTTACATTTCTGCAGGTCATAAACCTGCAGGGGATTTTGTAGCTGTCGACCCTATGTGGGTTGTTTTTAGCTTTGCAGATAACACAAGTGGGAAAAATCCCTGAGAAGCTTGTTTGACAGAGGTAAAGTAAGCTGTAAGTACAATGATGCACAGACAGCTGTTTCTACCCTCTTTCTGTACAGAAAAGAAAACCAGGTGTGATATTGATTAGGAGCAGTACTCAGGGTGGTAATTATACATCTTTCTAGTTCATAAGAGAGTACGAGGTTAGGTTGAATAAAATATAATCTTACAAAGAGTATATTAAAAAATAGCATCAGATTTAAATAAATGCCGATGAAAGAGTAGAATAAACAGGGAGACATCATAAAGAATTAGCCTATCTGTTTATAAAATGCTTGGAAATTAAGTGTGTAGAGAAAGTAGAGTAAGACCCAGGAGGTGCAGTTAAGGGTCTAATTGTTTAAGTCTTTCAATGAAGGATGTTTCTGGACACCTTATCATCCCTTCCTGCCATCATTAGCTAAAGCCTTGGTACAGGTCTTGTGTTTTGATTTCAACAGGACAGAAATTCTATTTCTTTGTTTCTGCCAGAAGAAATCTGCAACATCTGCATATCATTTCAGTGATAATAGGTGCACATTCATTGATTAAAAATTACAGTTTTGTCTGGCATAATGTATTCTTATAGCAACAGAATTCTCTTATAAAATTCTCTGGGTTCTCATGTCTTAATCAGATTCTGCCCACAAAGATCTGTTAGCAGGTTTGGACCTTTCTTTTCTCAACCCCTTGTTTTGAGGTTCAGAGAATTTTGACCAAATGAGGAAATTGGAAGTTACCTCAAATCCATGATGTTATAGAAATATTTCCGTTCATTCTAAAAAATTTGAAATATTTCCTAAACTAAGTAGAAAGGAGCTGTAGGGAGCACCTTGAGTCTTTATTCGGGGAGGAGCTCTTTTGCAGTGAAAGATGCAGAACTGAAGAGGAGTGATTAGTCCCATGGAAGGTGGACAAAGAGGCTGTGAGCTGCCAGAGAGAAGTGTTTGAGGGAAGCACGAGGATGCCCACCTGCACATGGCTTGCTGCAGTCCTGGCTTCAAGGGCAGCACCTTCAGGAACTGCGAAGAGCCAGTAGAATTTTAGATGTGCGAGGAATGACTGTGTGGTATATTTAAGGGACACCCTGAAGCCACCCTTAAGATGAGATTCACTGTCTGTAAGAGTGGCAAAGCCGGACGTGTGATTGTGGGCCAGAGGCTGCTCTGCAAAGCACACAGAGCCCTGCGTGCGCTGCTGAGCCCAGCACAGGCACGGTGCTCCCTCGGTGGCTCTCTGAGGCATGTCCAGACAGGCAGGTTGACACCTCCCTGCAGACATCTCAGGAGATTGGCTGCCAGACCTCCAGGTGAAAGGGAGGGACCTGAGACTGGGGGTTTGCTGTAGCCCACCCACTTCCCAGAGTACTTGTTACGAGTAGTGTTGACAGTGCCTTGAAGCCCTTTCTGGTTACCGTCCTGAGTTAGAGATGTAAAACAGGATTTATATGAATTCCCAATCTGTCCGAGTTCTACGGGGCCACTTCTGTGGTTGCTTGTCCTCTGTTACGCAGTGTCATTGCTACTGACTGTGTTGTCTTTGTCTGGTTGATTTTCTTCAGGTGATAATTCTTGTGCTGATTCATGGTGCCTCTGGTTTCATGGCATGTTTGTTGTGTGCCTTACAGTTGTTTGACTTACGAGATTTACTCGTCCTTTTCTACAGGTTTTAATTTGATATCAAAAACATTGCACTTTCAAAGACTTAGAGTTCTGATGTTCAACAACCAAAAGTATTGATTTGCAATTGGCAGGCGAGTGTGTTTGCTTCAACTAGCAGTGCTTTTAAAAAATAATTTGGTTTGCTTAATGACAAAAGAGTCCCTTTGTCCCCTTTCAAACCACTTTCAGGTTGACTGCAGCAAAGCCTACAACATTAAAAATGAAACAGTGTTTATGCCAAATATTCTGCCACGTATTTTCAAACCTTTTAGCAGCATTTCCACTGAAATTTTTCACCTAAATGCCACAGCAGTTCAGAGCTCCACTTGATGCTTTTTATAAAGACATCCACTTTCTGTCAAGAAAGGGCTACGTTCCAGCCCAGTGGCCATGGATGGTGGCTTACTCATACACATTGTCCTCCTGGTATGTATGGGGATAGGTACGTGTGAGCTTCTTAAGCTGTGAAAAGGAATAAAATCTGGTCCATGGCACTGAGTAATCTGGTTATTTTAGTCACTACCTGTGACTCTGAATTATCATCTGTATTATGGGATAATATGATCTCTTTGGTATTCAGCAATGACTTTTTTAAAATTACCATATATATTATACAGAGCTAATTTATTAAGAGTTACCTTAAGGGTAATTATCAAGTATGTAATTTCATCTGTAGGTTCTTACAATGATGGTTAATGTCATAAATGCCTTAATGAAATTATAGGCTTGTAACCCTGCCTGAGTATCCTTTGTGTGTCATATAATTAATAAGACCAAGCTTTGGTGGTTTATCTCAGTGTCACAAAACATCACGTAAACTTCCGTACTGATGGTAGGTGGTTAGTCTCTCATCAGAGTAAGAACAAGGTTAAGGCTAGGCAGCTCGAGTATATGTTACCTTATCTTTAAAGGCAGCTGGATGGACTTGTTAACACAAGTACTTCTAACAGAATATATATGCTCATAAAAAAACGGCCATTGATCTAGTGTCTTATTTTAATATTACATGCAGAATTTTAAGGGAGTGAAAAGGCAAGCGGCTTGCAGCAGTTGGAATAAAGAATTGCTTTCCTTCTAATCCACTGAGAGTAGTGAAAATCTGTGTCCAACTTAAGAGCATTTGGAGATGGATAAGAAGCTTCATCGCGATTTGAAGACACTTGCCTGGAACGTAGAAGAGCTGGGATTGTTTCCCAGTCTGGCCTAATGTCTGTGGGGCTCTGGCTAAGTGGATAATTTTTTATGCTCTTCAGAATTCCTGTTTGAAGAATCAGGGCCATAATATTTATTTCTTTGTCTCACGTTTCCAGACTTTAATCTTTCTGGAGCAAAGGGAATATCTGTGTGGAATTTGGGGGTTTTTTATGGTTTTTTTTGTTTGTTTATTCACCTTTGGCGATTACCACAGAATCTTATAGGATCGTGCACATTTGAAGGAACCTAAGGTCATCTAACCCCTCCCCCTGCTCAGAGCAAGGGCAGTGTTGAACTTCTGCGCTCTAGGCCATTTTCTAATTGTGGATAAGGAACCAGAAATTTTACATGTCACTAGTGAAAAGTAGTTCTAAAGAATCATGTAAGACTCATTAAGATTATTTTACTCTTCTTTGTCTTTCAGGGAATGATGTACCTGGAAGAGAGGAGGCTTGTCCACCGGGACTTGGCAGCCCGTAATGTCTTGGTGAAATCACCAAACCATGTGAAGATCACTGACTTTGGCTTGGCCAGGCTTTTGGAAGGGGATGAAAAGGAATATAATGCTGATGGAGGGAAGGTGAGTACTGAATATATCTGGAAGTAAATATATCACACTGTGATAAAACTCCTGAAGGTAGCCTTTAGCGCAGTGTATACAGAACTGTTATCTGTGTAAGAAATTCTTTCTGACTTAGCAAAGCCCTGTCTTCTAGAACAACTGTGTTGTGACAGCACACAAAAAAGCTGCTCATTTTTTGCTCAGTGAACTTCTCCGGGAGCCGAAGTATAATCATCTGAACTATTTTCACACTCAGAATTGGCTTCTGTCTATATGCCCCATTTTATGCCTTGTTTTGAAGACTTCAGAAGTCAGTTCAGTGAATGACAGATAGGATGTTCTAGAGCATTTCTGCAAAGCTCCTTTTTCTGGTCAGTATGGACCTCAGTAATATGCAGTCCCATTTTCCCAGACAAGTAGTATCCCAGAAAACAAAAAGGAAGGCCACAGAACACGTCTTTGTAGCATAGGAGAGTTTACGTACGCTCAGCAAAGAGCCGCCTCTTCTATCACATTGGAAGAGCCTGCACGTGCTATTTCTTGCGTCCAAGTCTCCAGTTACCATGCTGAATGCCAGGCCACTGAAAAGCTACCTGGAAGATAATTTTGAAACCAGACATTTTCCTATATTACTTCTCAGGATGTTGCGCAACATCCATATAGCGCCTTGCCTCATTTTTAATGCCTTCCAATGAATGCATTATGAAATTCGGAAGACTGTAAGTGCATACTGCTGCCTGCTGGTCCCTAAACATCTTGAAATTCCATATTTCAACCTGTCACAAAATCCCAAGGGATTCTGCCTCTCCTGTCATTCGTTTTCCTGAAGGTTCGGTTTGCTTTCTGTCTCCTTGTTATCTGTGGTTTCTGCACTCACTTATGCCCTTGTCTGGGAGAAACAGCTGGTGCCAGTGTGTGCTTTTCTCCTGGATGGGCTGCTGCCTTATTTGTGTGGCTGCTGCCCTTGGCAGCTGTTGCACGGATTACATTGGCGTTTCAGTCAATGAGGTGAAGAGCTTGAGAGGAGTCGCTGGTGCTTTCCCATTTCCCCAGCAGAGAGACCTCCTGGCACGGAAGGTGGAGTTTTGGCAGTTTTCCCTGATTCCTTCAGTTCTCTAATCCCCTCTTCAGTAACCCCTCTGCCTCTTCCCTCCATCAGCCAGTGAATGACAGAAAATGAGCTGGTCCTTGCAAACCAGCTGTTCCCTGGCAGCTGATAGATGGTGTCTTGGACTTGTGAGGCCAATCACACTGCTGGGAGTTCTGGAGCAGAATTTACATGTCAGATGTGTCGCTCCCCAGTTCCAGAGAAGTATCCTGTGAAATTCAGACAACTTTTGGAGCTTAAAGACAGATTAAAACCAGATAAAATGAAAAACTTTTTCACCGTGAGGACAATCAAGCGGTTGATCAGGTTGCCCGGGGAGATGGTGTGGTTTCCATCCTTGGAGATTCATAAGTCCAGACTGGATAAATCCCTGAGTAACTTGGTCTGATCTCAGAGCTGAACCTGCTTTGAGCCTGAGGTTGGAGTAGAGACTTCCTGAGGGTCTCTTTCAACTGGAGTTATCCCATGAAGAGCAAGGCAGCTTTTCTACTTCAGCAGTTGTTCAAGTTTGGAACAACCCAGTCCTATTTGATGGGAATGAAAGCAATACACTTCTGCAGAGTTTAGTGGAGGAGGATGAACTGTCTTTACAAGTGCTAAGCCAACCTTTAATAAAGAGTGCTATTTTTGCCGTAACTGTATAGGTTATGTTCATTAGTCAACTTTATGGAAGGTATTTTCATAAGGATTTGAATGAAGACACATCCTCTGCTTTTACACCCACCACCTGTTCAGATTTTGCATGCAGTTACGTATCTCTCTGGTTTATTCCAGTACATCTTCCATAGTTCCATATTAGAGGCAACGCATACAGGTCTACTCTAGCTATGACTCTGGTTTTAATGTCTGTCCATTAGAAATTAATGAACTGCAAGACTGTGCCTCACAGGCCCAGCTCAGGAATAGGAAATGCTGTAAGTCTTATTTTAACACAAACTCGAGAGGATGAACCCTTGTGCCAAACCAAGGTTTGTGTTTGCCTACACAGCCTTCTCTCTCAGAAGAGCAGAGCTCCCCTCCTCTGAGTGATTTGGAGCCAAAGGCTAACTTGGGACTCCTGACTTGCTTTCAGGAGCAACTTTTCTCACTGCAGCAATGATACAGAGAACTGGGAAGCCTAAGGTCTTGATGGATTAGGAGTTAGAAATTAAGCACTGTAAATTCTCCCCACTGCCTGATTACTCTGATGATAATTATGTGGACTGTGAAGTGTTATGGGCACTGCAGTATTAACTAGCCTCATTAGAGAGCAACCGAGATGGCAATGTCTGGTTTTGCAAAGTGTTGAACTAAAAGAGCTTCTGTATTCCACCTTCTCTGCTACACTTCAGGTTTAGGGAGATTGGATGTAATTGTCGCATTAGTCCCATTTTACATGGATATGATGAGTGAGTTGTTCCACTGCATCTGAATCGGCAAAATTTTCGGTGGTGCAAGTAGCTCTGCAGATAACTGGTTCATATTTCTCACCTCCATATGTTTTATGAGGCAAAGCCCCATTTTAGAGGGCAGAAACACGCATTTCCTCTGCTGGGTAGTACTGTAGCTTGCAGTTGAAAAGGGAAACAGGGAGGAAGGATCTATCTGTATTGTTTCAATATGATATTTCTGAGGTTATATTTCTGTTGTCTTTCCCT